CCTTGTTAACCTAATTAACCTAGTTAAGCCTTTAAATGTCACTTTAATCTGTATAAAAGTGTCTTGAAAAATATCTAGTCAAATATTATTTACTGTCATCATGGCAAAGATAAAATAAATCAGTTATTAGAAGAGATGAGTTATTAAAACTATGTTTAGAAATGTGTTGAAAAAATCTGCTCTCCATTAAACAGAAATTGGGGAAATAAATAAACGGGGGCTAATAATTCTGACTTCAACTTTATATAATTAGTTGTAATTTTATTCTTTCATTGTTTATTTCACATTTATTTGATATTGTTTTATATTCATATTAATTTATTTATTGCATTAACTTGCAGTCAACCTTTCTATTAGACTCCAATTAATTTCTAGTTTTAATTTAATATGTAATTTATTTTAATTTATACTGATGTAACAAAAGATTCTAGTTGTAGTTTTAGTTAATTATTATACAAATATTTTATTGCCTTTTTTATTCAAATTTAAGAAATTTATTTGTTTTTGTTAAATTTGTTGTTAATTTAGTCATTTTAATGCGTTCATCTTAAATTATGTTATAATTAAATAATCAGAAAAGGCAACATTCAAGTTCTTCTTTGGATATTAATATTTTCTTATTATTTAAACTAACAAAAATTCACAACAGTATAACATTTATGAATAATTATTATATATTGTTTTAATTAATATTATTTGAAACCATTGTTTATTTATATTTTATTACAATTTTATTGCAACTATACTATTCAGTCCCCTGGAATATTTAATTTATGTATTATTTTGTTTATTTTTAAAGTTTTGGTGCAATCAATTATTAAACCTATTAAAATCAGCTATTATAAAAACATTGCTATTATTAAAAAAGTTATAAATTATATAATATAATTGTGTTTGGCTTTTATTTCTGTCAGAAAACATCTTTTTACAGTTATTGAAAATAACTGTTAGAAATTAATAATAATTCTGCTAGAACTAAAAGTTATGGTTTAGCTATATAAATGCAAAGTTTAGCTAAAAAAAGAAAACTGACCATAGACGACTGTAATTAATCTTGTGTCCCTGTCAGTTTTTGTGTGTGGATGTTTTCCAGTGATGGGTTGCAGCTGGAAGGGCATCCGCTGTGTTAAACATATGCTGGATAAGTTGGCGGTTCATTCCGCTGTGGCGGCCCCAGAGTAATAAAGGGACTAAGCCGAAAAGAAAATGAATATATGAATGATTGAATGAATGATTACTACTGGAAAATTGTAATCTGATTACATTACTAATTACCTAATGTAAAAAGTAATCAGATTACTATTTGCTATACTTTGAAGTTACTTTTGAAACATATAAAATATACCTATAAAAATACTAAATAAACAGCAGCACAGTAATTTTCTGCCCAAAAAATTTTGTCCAAAACTTACAACTCTCTCATCATTTACTTGTTCCAAACCGGTTTGTCTTTTATTTTACGCAAAAGAAGAAAACTGGATACCTGTAACCACTGACATCCATAATATGAAAAAATCTTGCAGTGCTTGGGTGTTCTGTGTTTGTCTGCATTAGTCTACCTAAATGTATGTATTCCTTGCAAAGTATGAAGCTGGTTCATGGTCAGTTCTTGTCATGTGACCCGACCCGTGGTTTTCAACTGTGGGCATCTTGGAAATGCGAGCGCACACAATATGCACTCCCAATATGTGTGCGTGCACAAGAGGCGCAATATGTTAACGGCCCCATAAGTAGCTGCGCTTCTTTTTACATTCAGAAGATACCTTCACCTGTTTAGCCTGAGTTGAGCCGCCATGTTTTTGGGCGCCAGTGTCCTCCTTGGTGACGAGTATTGTTATAGAATGCTTTTTGCTGAACAAGTTGCTGGTCAGTGGTCAAGTTCAAAGCAGTTGGATTTTTGTTTTTACGCTTAATAAATATTTTTGTTTTACGCTTAATAAAATCAAAGTAATGTATTTCCACTTGAAGAAGCAAACACTCTCAACAGCAGCTATTTCAGCTCGTGTTCTCCAGCAATTTAAAAGCGTGTGCTTATTAACTGACGCTGCAGCAGAAAACATGATTTAAAAGAAGCATTTCTTCTTCTAAAAACTATATTTGTAACGCAAGTCACGCAATTACACTGACTTTAGTAACTGTAATCAAATTATACAAATTTAAAATGTAATTCATTTCATTACTGCGTTCTCCAAAAATGTAATAGAATACAGTAACGCGTTACTGTGGAACGCATTACACCCAACTTCTGTCACATACCTGACTATTTCCTGCTTAAAGTCAGTGTTGTCAGAGAGCTGAGTTTTGTCTTCTTTATTTTAACATCCTGATTTTAAGGTTCTTTGTTGTTCATATATTTGTAGCTTAATAATCTGATAAATTGAACAATTAACGTTAAATAAAATGTTATTTTGATCCTACAGTATATTAGCAAGAGTACTCTCAGAACTAAAAATATACAAACAACATGGAAGCATTCAACCAGGATGTTAAAATAAACAAAACCTCTCAGATTTCTGACAACATCACTGACTCGCAACAGGAGGTATAGGTTCTTCACTTTTTAGGGTCCCCAACACATTTCCGCAAACTTAGAAATGTCTCCAATTAAGAGTTTGTTTTTTTTTAAAGTTTTTTTTTCTTTTTTCCCTGTTCTGATGGTCAGACTAGTGCATTTGTTGTGAAACCAATGCAAACTCTCAACATCCCCTCACATATGGATTCATGTTGGTCAGGGAACTTAACCAAGGAACGGTAAAAGTGACCTTAGAAGGGAGACTGAAGGATGCTCATGAAAATCAATGACCGCTAATGCTCATCCACATGTTTGTGAAGTAACAGTAGATTAGATTTATATGATGTTTACTTTGATGTTTAATCTTCTAAAACTTTGAGTGCTTTCCAAAAAAATCTCTTCCAAGCATGCAGCGACTGAGGTGAAGCACATATGGAAAATATGAGACTGGACAGCTTTTTAAAAACGGAAGCTGCTTATGGTGAAGAAGCAGGACAGTCAGCTTCGACATGAATGAATGAACAGTTGAGAAAGCAGTCAGGCATGCGGACAGTGAATATAGAGTTTAGAAACTAAATTAGCTTCTGCAAATTATGTTGTCTCAAATTTTTTTATCATTTATAATTATTATAGCTTATTATATTATAATATTCATTTATTTTGAATTTATTTTTTAATAAAAACATATTACAATCCAAGTAAAAAATAATTAATTGATAGATAATATTTTTTTTACTTGTCAAATACAAACCTTAATATCACTTTATATATATTTTTTAAATATTATATTACTGACTTATATAAAATATTACTTAGAATTACAACTTTTTTTGTTTAATTTATCAAAAATGCTTTTTTATAATCATTTTAATAAATTTTTTGTAAAAACACTTCTTAACTTTTATTATATGCAGCATTTTATAAATATTATATATCAGATGTATAATTTCATTTTATTTAGCCGTTATTTTACAAATCCAATATATTTTATCTAAACATATTTGAACATTTGTTAATATTTCAATCATATTTGATCAAAATGAGCGATGACAGCGACTGCAGCGTGTTTAACTACATGAAGCAGCTCTTCATGTACTGTATGAGTGGCTCTGGATTTATGATTGAGCAGGTCAGAGTTGCTGACTGACATCACCCACACTACAGCCTTCCCCAGTATTTCACAGGTCCTTTCATCTGCGCTCATTTATGAATGAAGGATGTTAAAAGCAATTTACTAAAAGCAGACATGAGCAAAAAGGGAAATCTAAAAGCTATTATTCACTTTTTATCTTTCACTTACAGCAAACCAATGATTGGAGGGCCGTGGCAAATATTACAGCCAAGCCGTCAAACTGACATTTTGATTTTATGCAGTGTTTAAAGGACATTTTATTATTATTTTTTAACCTTTAACTTTAATAAATCAACAGTAACTTGGGATTTTTAAGTAAGGGATGAAGTACTGTCAGGCTTTTGTTATGACAGAATACTGAATGGGGAATTTATTCTGAAGGGCTTTATTCTGCGAAAACAACCACCAGGAAGTACTTTATTCCATTTATTACACAGATACAGCGGGTGCTTTTTATTATTCTATTAATATATTGTTATTATGAATGTTAATTATTTTTTTATTTTTTTAAAACATGCTTTTATTATAATAAAAATTAAAATTATGTGGCCTTAAGTGGATAAATGAAAAGGCAAGTGCTTTTTAATTGACCTGCTCCCAGTATTTCTGCTTCCTAATAAAGTCAAGAGGTTTTTTTTCCTGAGAGAGAGAGAGAGAGAGAGAGAGAGAGAGAGAGAGCATCAGGTGTGTCTGTGTCTTCATCTGTATGATTGCATTAGTTAATCAGATCTGCTCTGCTGCTCAAACTCTGTCAGCGAGAGCTCTTCACACTGACAGATTCTACATTGCCAGTAGCTGCTGTTGTACAGCGTCCTCTGCCGGTCATCATGACTGAAATACACAAACAATCACTAATGCAAATACAGGTTTGGGGCTGTCTTAGCCTGAAATACACAGAGACAATCACAATGCAAATACACACTCGGTGTTGTGTGATATCAGCAGGACACAAATGCGTGTAATGAGTATGACAAGTAATGGTGTATTATGAGGACACTGTTGATGTCCCCCAGGGGCGTAGCAACCAGGGGGGATGGGGGAGATATGTCTCCCTTAGTTTTAGAGCCAGACTAATTAGAAATAGGTAATTAATAATTATAGAAATGTAAAATCATTCAGCTGTCCCCCTCACTTTTAAAATGTCGGCTGCACCCCTGATGTCCCCATTTTTCAAATGGCTTATAAATCATACAGAATGTGTTTTTTTTTTTTTTTGTTCAGAAAGTAAAACTGCGCAGGTAAGGGTAGGTTTAGGTGTTGTAGGGCACTAGAACACACAGTTTACAAAGGAAACCTATGCAATGTCACCGCAATTTACCAAAACAAACCACTCTTTCACTCTCTCTCTCTGTGTAG